ACAGATTTCCAATCTGCTATCTCTATTGAGGTTTACGAGGGTGAAAGGACAAGAGCAAGCGATAACAATTTGCTTGGTTTCTTTAAACTTAATGGCAATCCTAAAGCTCTTCGAGGCCATCATGTAACCGTATGTTTCAGTATAGATGCCGATGGTATCCTAACTGTAATTGCTGAGGATGAAACCATTGGAAGTAAGAATTGGATTACCGTAACCAACGAAAACGGAAAACTATCAACTCAACAAATTATGAGAATGATTCAAGAAGGCGAGAAATACAAGGCTGAAGACCAGAAGTACGAAAAGAAAGTTAAAGCAATTAATGCTTTGGATGACTTCGTTTACAAGATAAAGAATGCTATAGATGATGTAAATAATCCAAAAGAGAAAACGAAAATCAACAAGGCAATTGCAGAGACCGAGAAATTGCTTGATGCTAGGGAGAAGACAGAAACAGAGGTTTTTGTGGATCATCTGCACAGGGTGAAGAGCCTCATTGAACCCATTATGAAAGATTAACTAGTTTGTTTCAAGTTTATGTTGGTAAAAAATGTAAAACTTTATGAAGGAAGCTATCTAAACAATATATTATTTCCAGTTTCAACTATCAATCCTTGAACAATATAGAAATTTCCCATATAGATGGATGGAAGCTGATAAAGTAATATGATTAATGTAGCTTTTTTTTTCTATGGAGGGCATTTGAAAAGGACTTGGCTAATAAAAATAATTATCTGGTTTTGTGAAATTGTACATGAATATGTTGAAGGTGTTGTAGCAATTTCTTGGTAGTTTGACATTAACAAACATATAGTTTCTTAATCATTCAAGTCATTGTCAATGTTGCTCGGCTGGGTTGTAATTTGGGTTGTAATTGTAATCTTTTTCTTCAATTAATTGCAGGGAAAATACGTTAACTTTTCATTAATTTGAATATTCTTTGTGGAAGACATAAAATATTAAGAAAACACATCATACACTATTGGAAAACAATTATATTAGAACATTATATAACATGGTTGTAACGAAACTGATTTCATTTAAAAGGCGGTAACGATTTTATAATGAAAAGTATTTTAAATTGGTTACAAAGAAAACTAATTAATATATTTTCTTTTATAAAGTGCAAAAGCTTTTTTTAGTTTTCGAATTTTGTCTTCTTTCTCATGTCTTTATTGTTTTTTCTTTTCTTTCTTGCTATTTCTTGAAAAAAACGATGATGTTCTCGTCTCTTCCAAACAACTATCCATAATTGTCGTTGTCTCTTACTGTTGTCGCGTCCCACTTCAGCAAATTCTTTTTCTCTTCCAAGCCATTATATATTCGACAACCGATACAATAAGTTAGAATACATATTAAATTAGTTACACAACTTATATAACATGTATTTTACATATTACATCGGTATTTGATTAATTGTAAAATTGATCTAATGTGCTTTAAAGATGATTTAATATATCTATTTTGGACCAATGATAGTTTCTTGGAAGAAAGTTGTATATTCATATAGCAACTTTGTGGAAATTTGATGTATAATTCATTACTTTTGTTCTGGTGTCAAGAGTTGAGCGATTGTCAACGTAGCTAAAGCGAAAGTGTTGCATAAAGTTTGATGTGATGTAAATCATAAACAATAAACCAGCACGATAATATTTGTGATTTATACATGAATTTTTATCTAGTCATCAACGAAGATAAAAAATAGATGCATAAATTTTGCTTTGTTTTTTCTTTTCTTTAATTTTAAAATTTGCACTTTTTTTATATCCAAGAAACAAAAATATACTCAATCTATTTTAATAAAAAAAACTCAAACAAAAAAATACAAACTCTATCATAATGTAATATATATATATATATATATATATATATATATATATATATATATATATATATATATATATATATATATATATATATATATATATATATTAGGGTTTCACAGGTAGATAATAGGGTGAGAGTGCATAAAAAACAAAACGACACTAAAACATTAGAAACTATTGACGTCTTATTCTGAAATTTAGTTAACGGATTTGGGAATTTAATTTTAGTACATTCTCAAAACTAAATTGCAGAATATTTACTTAGTACATTCTCATTAAGTGACCGATGGGCCGGACCAGACCGGGTCCGGTTTTTTTAAAAAAAAAAACAGATGTGCTACGGAACACATAAGCTTTGTGATTAGTTTATTAAGAAAGAATAAAGTATAAACGAAGAAGATCCTTAAAAGCATAATAACTTTAGTTATTGAATATATTAAAACAATGAGTGGTTATCCATGTTTAAGACTTTCAAACTATTCTTTGTTTATTCAGTGGAAGACCATCTCTCTATAAACTAGGACACTCCCTGTTTTGTTTCGAAGAAATTTTTTCATCAAATACATCTAGAACAAAAATAAAAAAAAATAAAACTAGATCAGCTTATGTATAACAAAATTAACGTAATAAGAAATAAATTGTATACACTAAATTTATTAAAAGAAAAACTAGACTTAATTAATATTCGATATTTGTATTTTAGACATTTAATTTGTTTTTGGTTTTTATATTTATATTTATTCAATTGATTTTTTTTATTTTGTAGAAAGATTTAGTTTATTTCCTTCTTTAAATTAACATTAACATTATTTAAAAATATTATGTATTAAAATTTTAATTATTTTTTTTAATTTTGACATGTGACACCTTTAATGATAAATTCAATTTTTAATACGCCATATTTTTAAAGTGCATGGTCACGTTAACCATGACAACATTTTTTAGTCTTATTCTAAGTCTTTATTTACAAAATTTACCCCATATGCCAATTATTTTCCACCGTACAAGTGTGAATTTGTGGAAAACTGTGGAAAATACCAAGAATCGCTACCTAAGGTTGGAAGGAAGCATCCAATACAGTCCGCTAAACTAAAGAATAAACAAGCCAAGACACTACTATTCAAACGTAGGACACAAAACAGTGGAATGTTTCGATACCATTTAATCTTTTGTACGAGTAATTGAAGAATATATGCTCTTTGAACCGACTATTAACACTATAAATTAATACATAGAGAATCAAGTATTTTCATCAAAGCACCAGCATTTGCAAAATCATACACAAACCTCTCCTTTCCTTGTCCAGAAAACCTACCTTCCGTTTGACCTCAAGTAGAACAGAAATATGAGTGTAGAAATTTTGGATGGTGCGACCATAGTGAACTTCCTTCAGGATGAGGAAGCATTCAGTGTATCAGTAAGAAACCGTTTTGCTCGCCTTGACACAGACAATGATGGCCTTCTCTCGTATGCAGAGATGCTGAAGGAGCTCCAGAGCCTTAGGGTGTTGGAAACCCACTTCGGTATTGATGTAGAGCCAGACCCAGATGAGCTTGCTCAGGTGTATGAATCCTTGTTCGTACAATTCGATCACAACTTGAATGGCACGATTGATCTGGATGAATTCAAGAAGGAAACCAGGCAGATGATGCTTGCCATGGCTGATGGATTGGGTTTCGTGCCAGTTCAGATGGTCCTGGAAGAAGACAGCATCCTCAAAACAGCTGTTGAAAGGGAGACCAATAAACTAGCTGCTTGAGTACTACTTTACTCAACCTTCCGATCAACAGAGTTCTACTAGAATTGTAATATTTTAATGTCCTGTTTTGTTGCCATTACTGTTTTCAAGCTGTTTTGTTTTTTCTCTAAATTACTCACGGAATGAACTATACTGTCTCAATCTGACCCTTTACATGTCCAAAGGAAAATTTGCGCCTGAGAATAGTAAAAGTTACGACTCTAAATCCGAAAACCTCCTTAGAACCAATCTTTTTTTCATTTCACACCCTACTAAATACACTTCTTTTACCACTCTTTCATTTACATCACATCTCCTTTTCTCTTCATCTTCCAATCTCTTTTCTTTCTTCAAGTCTATACATAGCCATTTGGAGTACAAATAGTATTTTTTCCATAATCATTTGAATTTCGGAATAGGCTACAATAAGGAATTTGACTTGCTACGCAAACATTAGATTCCCATTGAGCACTATCCACTAACATCTAAAGAAATCATCAACAGGGACTTCGCATGCCATGGAGGAATTTTAGTTTGTTCTCGAATTAATAGTCAATGGATTATCCGTGCTCTATTCATCAAATTACTGTAAAGTTACAAGAACATATACATCTCAGGAGCCTGAATGAAAGAAAGAATTCCTTCACCAAACAAGTCAAACAGTGATACCAGGATCCGTCCAGAATTAAGCTCGTCTTTCCAAACCTGGGTGAGAGCAGCAGATGTCTTCGATGCCTGAGTATCACCCCTGTTACTTCTAAGTTCGCCATCTAAAGAAGTCTCATTTTTCATCTGTGCAGAAGATGATGAACCAATAATTGAATCAACTGGAGAAGCTCGAGTCTCTGCCTCCTCTTGCTTGTGAGCGGGTGAGGAATTCATTGGGACCACACCAACCTCTCCGTCGGTAGCAGTTTTTTTCAAAGGTGGCTGCTGTTCCAATTGGTCAGGGTCTGCCTCGCGTTTACCTAAGTAATCAATTATGAAAAGGAGTAAGTATACAAACAAAGAACGGAAAAGTACAAACAATATTTATATAATAATTAGAACATTGAACGTTAAGTCAGCGCCTCCCAGTACATCAGCATTAAGAATTTCTTAAGAAAATAACAACCAAGTAACAGATCTGGTGCCTGCTGTGACAGATAATCCCAGCTAATATACAGAAACAGTTAGGAAAAGAAAAGGAAATATTGTAAACAAACAATTCAAAGTGACAATGAGAAAATAGGAAAAGTAAGTTTCGAGGAAAATAACATATTCGAACAAAAACTGTCAATTTACCTGATGAAGCAATTTGTTTTAATTTAACAGTTCTATTTCTAAATTTCAATTATAATAATCCTCCATACATGAATTTATTTAGGTTTGAACTTAAATCAAATTTATTATGTCTATGCTATGTGCCTGTATGATTTAGTAGAGACAATCATGAGCACAATTAACTATTGCTTCAACCCTGCCGCAGTTAGATGCTAATATTGACAAACAGATCCCTTTCTTCTGTGGGTATTATATATTGTGGGTATTATATATACTTGTTTACCTTAAATTAAATGCCCAAACAAAAAAGATTTCCCTCCAAGGCTTAAAAGGATTATAGTAGGTATTTCATGAACTAGTGACTAGTATTTTCAAGGGAAACAAGGAAAATACTCACGAGATGAAGAAGTAAGAACTTTTGCATTGGTCTTCCAGACAGCACTAGGAGAAGGAGTTGAAAAAGTTGGGAACATCTTTAGTCGATCATATATACACTGACCTGCAGCACGCTGAATGATAGATTACATACAATCATCAGAACAACCACATTATACCGAGACTGATATTTTTCAGTTGGAAAAGCACCTATTTTTTACTAGCAAGTGGCTATATGTGACAGCATATCTTACCAGCAAGGCTCCATAAACACGCCAAGCTTCATGCCTTTTCATTTCATTTTTCTGCTTCTCCAGAAGCATCTCTGGTTCAAGAAGTCGCATATATGTCTCAAGGTTTGGCAGCAAAAGAAGGCGAACCTATTTCCATAGCAATAAGTAACATTAAAAATATATCAGAGCCTCATATGTAAGTATCAAACCTACTTTGAATTAAACAAACAAACATAATATACCATACAAGGTTCCTTTTAAATTGGTCATTTAAACCTTAAAATTATAAATACGAAACAATACTGAATTTGTAATGTAATAGCATGTTAATCTAATGATAATATGATGACAAGCGTATATAAAAATTGCATTGGAAAGTTGTCATCTTTAAACCACCAAAAGTATATTTCCAACTGTTGGCTTTTGACCAACTCCACAATCGCCAGGAACATGGGAGAGACACATACCACATTGGGTCCCAGTGCCCCCAACCCCTGAATCGCGCCATAGTGTTGCGTCATTGCCTTCTTAGGATCCAAGAATGCATTCAGCAATGTTTTAGTCAAACGATACTGGAGATTACTATAGACATGTCCAAACCTGCATGAAACATGAAGTTAATGTAAGAAAAATAGAAATGAAATCAATAAAAGCCCAGCAAATAAGCAACATGCCTAAAGTCATCAAGCAAAACTAGACTATCAAGCTTACAATACAATGACTCAACAGTTTGTACCAAATTCTACATCTTGAAATACCAATGACCATGCCAGGAAGTGTGTCCTTGAACTGGATCTCCAAAAACATAGGTGAATTTGAAAGGAAATACACAATAAATATAGTATTCTTTCTCTTTGCTACTAGGAAATAAAAGGACGTGAACAAATTGCATCAACCATCAAATAAATGGGGATACCGAGCATGGAGGTACACATACCAATAAATATAGAAAACTGCTTATTTCCATATATACGAAATAAACAAGGCAAGAGGGATATCTCACCTTTTGCATATTGAGGCAACCAGGTTAGCCGTAAAGTCTCTAAGTTCCCAGTGGTTGTCTGCCAACCTACTGCCCAACCTTTTAGCAACGAGGCAGGTCACAACAGATGGCATCAACTGGTGTAGCTGAAACATGCACAAACAGAAAGAAAAGAGTTAAGCAAGGATTTCACATAAACTCGTTCGAGTGAACAAAGCAATAACCAAATGGCCTTTCTAAACAACATGGTGGTGCTTGATCCATGTGGCTAAACCCACCTATATGGAAAAACTTTTCTAGTTATTCATGCTACTTTCTTTTCACAACTCTCCATAATCATTCAAACATTGAAACTACCTTACAAGATAAGAAAAGCCATTAAGAACTGGACTACCGACCTAAACCATTGCTATCTGGCCAGAAAAAGACCTACTAAAACAGAACCCAAGCCTGACCTTTGCTTTGAGGCTGATGCGTCAGGCCACATGGCAGGCCACAAGAAAATACAGTAGAAAGCACATTTTTTATTTGCTTTCAAATTTTTATGGGGCCAACCGACCAAGTTTGTTCGGGGCCATCTTTATGGACAAGCAACAAATGATAAATCAACTTAAATATCTCAGAATACTTTCAAAGTTCAATGTAGACAACAGACTACCAAATAGAAAAGGATGAAACAACCAATATTTACGTAGATATTAAAAATACTACTGTGCTCAAACAAAGATCATACTTCATCTGCAAGAATATAAACAAATATACTAAACCAACAAGGGGTGAACTTACATAAGGTTCAATATGGATGTGAGGGTTTAGCAGAAGGCTACTAACAACTCGCATCAAGGCAAATAGAAGAGGAAAATTATTCAAACCACGTGAAACCTGACAAGAAATGAGAAGCATGCAGTTATAGTGAGCTACAATAAGGTGAAAATTCTTTTTTTATCCATTAACATCATAAAAGGACAAATATTATTACCTCATCAGCTATAAAGCATGTGAAATATGGAACTAGTGGATGAAGTCCTGAATCAGTAGCCAAACTTACTAATGCTTCTTTAAAGAGAGCTGAATCAGACTCACTCAAAGTAAGCTCAGCAACTTTGTCAAAATACATCTGCAAGAAACAATAAAACTAACAAAAATGAATCACGAGATGTGAAACAAGATAGCTCATGGTGCCTTAACAATTTTAATACCTGAAGTTCTCTGGATAATACATGCTTAACAGGCAATTTGATGTCAACTGGAAGGTCATCATCTTTCTGCTCATGCTTTTTGGTATCAGAAGGAGCTGAAATTACTGCATATAAAATAATAAGTAAATAATAATTCTTAAAAGGGGTATTAGGAGAGTAGAGGTTAAATTGGAAGAATTTACAAATAATGGATCTCGAAGCATTAAGCAGCCAAACAGTTCCTGTTTGTTTTGTTTGTATGATGGACATCTCCAAAATTATAAGGAGCAAAATATTTATATGATTCTATGGGGGCGCACACACACATATAACTAAATATTTCTGAAAATCAGTATATTTAATTGGATGTGTATACTTCTTCTAGTTTTCCATTTCTAATTTCTAGTGATTTAGTGTGCATAAAGATACTGATGTTTTCCACAAATTTTAGACCCATAAAGCTGACCATGCTATGGTGACAAACAAAATCACTTAAATAACATCTCCCAATCTAAACACTAACTAGAGTAAAAATTCATGATATCATGAACCAGAGGAAGTCAAAACAACAAGCTGACAAGTATAACATCAAACAAAATCATACCTCCAAGATCCCTCAATCCATGCAGCTAAACCATACAACCTAGTTTCATCTGAGCCAAAGAATACAGGCAGAACTCAAGGTGAGAGACATACCTTCTATAGGAGCATTTTCTGGAATAGCAGGTTGCACACCTTCAATGGCTAGCCAGTGGCATGTAACTGCAGTATCAAGAGGTGCTTTTGGTAAAGAAGCTTCAATAACCTATGATTAACAGAAGCTATATAATTTTAACGAGGTGATGCACAGGTTGAAATCCAATTGAAGTGAGTCAATGAAAATGATTGAGTACACCCTTACCTCTTTTAAATCTACATCCTTGTCCTCAATATAAAACAAGTCCCTGTGTCCAACAGCTCTTTTGAACCGCAAAGGACCACCAGATGCAAATCCATATATTGGCTGTCACAAGGAGGAAAACAATCGATAATGAGATTGGAGACAACAACTATGCTTTCTTTTCTCAAAAAGAAAAGAAATTCACAAAAAAATTCCACAAGGTAGTTCTAATATGCATCTTCTATCTGGAAATAGCAAGAACCCGTAAAATCACAATCCTCACTACTCTCAATGCACAGCCAATCCTCAGTTCGAATATAAATGAAGCTAGTTATATTATATCTTTCCACAACTTTTGAGTACACTACTGAACAGTTTGAACAATGAAGATCAATTTGCCAT